TTTTTTTGAGGTTGATTGTTGAGGATTTGATTTTCAGTTTGGCAAGTTTCCGTGGCCACCTGATCGTAATTGCCCACTGTACCGATTTGGGTACATTTCTCGGTTCATAATAGAGTTGAAGCCTGAAGATGTTGAATCTATGGTGGTGAAGTATTCGATAAAATCGACGCCTGAAGAAGTGAAATGTGCTAAGAGATATCTTGAGCAACTCCGGAGCAGCTGGGTAGCTTTAATTTCTTTCTTTCTTTCACAACTTTTTGATTATTACTAATTTTATGTATATATGTTTATTTGATGACTGGTTAAGAAAAGAATGGGGAGTCCAGTGATTAACTAATAGCAGTTGGACCATCTGATGATTTTCTAATTCTTTTGGTGGTTGAAAATATGTGTTATGTTTTTGTTCCTTGTTTCCAACTTACTAATATTATATACAATATAGCAATAGGTTGATGAAAGTTGGCATGTGTGAGAAATGTTAAAGTGTTTGTAATTTCAATTGTTTGCTAGGGTTATGATCTCGATTGCATTCCTCCTCGTTGGTTGGGCTGTGCAGTTCGCCCCATAGAGCTGCAGCAAAGTGATGAAAATGTGTCCAAACGTGCTAGGGCAGAAGAAGCAGCTCGTTGGGCAATATACGTAGTCAATAAAGTGGCTTTGGTACGTATGATGTAATTTGGGTTCGGATGCATTACTAGCTAGTTAAAAAGAGGTGGTCATGACTTTTTTTTTTTATTTTTACTATTTATTTATGGTCCATTTTTTCAGAAAATGGGCAAAAATGACAACATGTTAGAGCTTAAGAGCCTGGACAAGGCTGTGAGGTGCGGTTTCAACGTGTATCTTGTGAGCTTTACGGTGAAGGATGTTTTGGGTGATGCCATCAAAAAAGTGAGGGCATCGGTTGGGTTTGCATCGTCAGCTCCAGCTCCCATTCTGATGGAGTGCAAGCTTATGTCGTAGTCGACTTTCCTCCTACTACACTGGGCATTTTTAATTTCTCTTGCCCTTTTATTTTGTTTGGTTCCCAGACTGTTTGACTTATTTAGTTTCTTCCATGACCCATTTGACAAGATCATCATCTCTCATATGTGTTGCTGGTTAGGGTGTCTGCTCCATTTTAACTAATTTTTTTTTTTTTTTTGAAAAACAATTTTAACTTAAGCCTATCATTATCAATATAATTAAATAATAACAAACGATCACTTTCCCACTTTGCATTAACTTTTAATTCACTACTCATATATTCACATAATTTTAAATAACTACCATTCACATTATACCTTTCTTACTTTATTATAATAAAGAGAGTTGAAAAAATCACAACAACAAAGTTATGCACGTTTTGGTGCTGCCTTCGACCACACGCGTGCGCCGGTCGGCCGGCTCGCCTCAGCACGAGCCTGGGACTTGGGCCACGGTGTTGGTTCGGTTAAGATGTCAACTCATGTGAACATCCAAATACTTAACGAATTGACTACTGATTTTGAAAGATAATCGAGTTATTTTTGCAATCAGACTAAACCTCATACTATATAGGTCGTTTTAATAATGGAACCCAGCATAATTATGCGGTACCGAGCAACAGAAATTATGAGATCCAAACATAACTTCACCCTCAGTTCACATAAAATTAAAATTTATGATTTCTTTTTTCCGAAAAAAAAAATATATATATATCATAGGCGTAATTAGGAGTGTTTCAAGAAAAGTAAAAGGTGAAACAGGAGAAAGGAGACCTGTAGAAACCAAGAGGTGAATATAAAGGGAAAAAGAAAGCTCTGAAATATAACTCAACTGCAAATACAAAAGCATACATTGTTCTTACATATAAGTAATTCCCTGGCACAAGAGCAAACATTGATGGAACATCAAAAACCATTCACAGCTAAGTCAAAGATCATGCGGCTGCCCACTCAGCTGTCCTCAGATGTTGCATGCCTGCAAACATACCAACAAATCAAAACACGAGACCCCTTCTTCTTCTTCATATCCCATTAATTCAAAGCAGATGTTAAACTAACGAATTGATAATGCTAAATGAAGACGAGAGATGGAACAAAGTTATTATGTTTGAGCTGAAAGCCAGAAACAATCTCAACGTATCTTGATTTATAATGCTTGTGCTCATAACCACGCATTTTCAAATAAAACTGAACGTGAATTAAGAATTCATGAATTTTATATTACATTGCTTTCCATCCAAGGTTAAAAAACAGACCTCCAAGAAGTAGTTAAGTTACGAGCTTTTCTATCCAGCTGCAAATTTTCCAGAGCAGCCGAGGCACGGACTACATCTTCAGGAAGTTCATCATTTTCGTATCTCCAATTGTATTCATCTTTCCTATTACCAGCCGTAGATGAGCCAGCTCGACGATCTGAAGGATAATCATCATAAAAACTGTAACAGCACAAAAAATAGAATAAATAAATGACTTTGCAGGATAACTTTCAAAACCATTGACTACTTACCAGAAGATTGTAAAGTAGGAAGAGGCCTGTAGTGAGCACCAAATCAACCAAAAGTTACTAACCAAAACTTTAAAGAGCAGTTATGAAGGAGGAATAAGAAGAAGGGGAAAATGATTATTGATAGTATACCTTCCAAGTGGAGGTAACCCCCCAGCAACCGATGATGATGAAGGTCTCCTAATGTTACGAGCTTCCAAATTTGATAGCGATTCAGCATCGGGTGTGGTTAATCTCCTGTTGCCAGTCCTTCCTTGAGATAAATTCTGGAATTGCACATGTCAAAATTGTGATAGAACACTAATGCTTCTAAAGAAGACGGAAAATGATAGGAATATTAATTCTAGGATCTTGTATCCAGGAACAAAATATCAAATTCATAAATATTATTATTATTTTGCGAAATGTGCCAGGTGTGAATTGTTTGGGGAGAGGAAAAAACACTACAAAAACTAAGGGTAATCACAAACACGGATGTGCGAGAACAGACATTAGCATTTAGCGAGAGAAAACAGAGGCTAACAGACTTCTTTGAAGTTTAACCAAAAGAAAACAAAAAATGATCACAAAGCTTGAAAGAAGAATATATATCATCACACCTCATACTTCAAGAAACCCTCAAGAACATCCAAAAGTAAAGGGCCGCTGTCTCCATTCCGGTTAAGATCATATCCATTCTTGCTGCTAAATTCTTTTAACTCTGATTTCCAGGAATCCTTAGGCTAAAATTGACAAGGAAGTTAATTAACAAAATGCACATCATAACTATAACAGAAAGAGTAGCAGGGTGCCGATTAAGTACCAAATTACACTCTGGTAAGTACACTTTCAAGGTGTGGTTTAATTCAGCCCAATCGAGATATTCACATATCAATGCAGTCAGAAGTCTTCCTACAAACCAGATAGATAGTGAAAGGATATTCTATTATCTCCCTCAATGTCACAAAACCTGGAACTGTCTGCATAAATTCTAATGCACTAACTAATTTAGATGTTAATGGAGAAGAATATCTTCTATGCTCATTACAAGATGCATTACATACCAAATACAATACAGTATGATGTCTGCTACACAGAGGATGAATATAATAGGACTCAGATACAAATACAATAGGACTCCTTAGGCTAATGCACAAGACATGGAAGAAGTATAACCAGCATATAAATTGTGGGGGCTAAAAAAAAGAAAACAAAATTGTCGAAACTTGCAAAAACCTGACGGTGAATTGTGGAGTTGCTTAGCATGGTCATTGCAGCTGCCCAAAAGAGCAGGAGGAAGTCCTTGGTCTTTCTCTATGACTCTATCTTCCTCTTCTATTGCTTCAAACACACTAGCTCTTAGTTCAGCCTAGTAACCGAGAAAATCACAAGCCTCAGCTTCTAGAGTGAAAGCAAAACAACTACAGCTGCTTTTTTTTTTGGCATAAGTAATGCACAGATATACATATTTATATGCATATCAAAGGCTGAACATCAACCCAACAAGAGATTGTTTCTGCTGCATAACCCTCAGTTCTACTTGTGTTATATTTCCAACTACTTGTGTTCAGCTAGGGCACAGAGAAAAAAGTAAGATTTGGGGAACATTACAACCCTTCACCCGGCTATTATATCCAACTGCAATCAAATTCCACCATCCAATTGCGCACAACAAAGAACATAAAGTTTGCATAAAATATGCAAGAATTCAGTACATACAAATATACACAGAAAAAGAAAACTCAAAGAAGGAAGCTAACACGGATCTTGGCAAGGACGCCTTTCTTCTCGAGAGTACGTGTAACCAGGGTTTTTAAATCCATCATTTCTCTCGTATAATCCTCCATCTTCGATTCCAAAATGTCGACGCCAAGATTCACAATTCAAGGGCACGACATACACACACATTAAATCAAAAATTTATACTTGACTCACTGACGACCCAGGTCACGATGTATACATCGGAACTTAGATTATTGATTATTAATATATAAATATTATTTGTCTAAATTTAATTACGAAGTACGATTCTTATCAAGTAAAATTTCGAACCACCAAAAGCAGTCACGTAGGCTCAGCACATTCAGAGCACATTCAAGAATCATATATAAGAGAATTTACAACTCTTTTTGTTTTTTTTATTTTTTTTTTTTTTTTGTTTTTTTTTTGTAAATTGATGATATATCTATTGTTTGAAAAGTTCGTCCCTCTATATATATATATATATATAACCGGGAGTTTGTTGGGGTGTGCTTTTGACACGTGACACCCTTAATGAAAAACATCGCTCCTGGCTTCACACGACGTCACATTGTTCGAAAAGAAACAACGCCGTTTAGATTCAATTATTAAAAGCATTTTTGTCTTCATTTCTGCAAGATATATCCGCGAACATGAACATTTCTCTCCCGATCTCCCGACTCTCTCACCGCCCCTACCACTCAGCACCGCCGCCGTCCTCGATCCTCTCTGAAGATTCCCGCAGCACGTGGTCGCCAACCTCTGCTGCCTCCGGCAAGCGACGTGCCTTATTTCTCCAGCGCATATGGCCAGGTACGCGGTGAAGATTAGCGATTAGGAGGGGGTTGCAGAGGATCGGTTGTGGGTTGTAATTTTCTTGTTCGATCTCTCTCTCTCTCTCTCTCTCTCTCTTGCATACCACTTTGTTGTGGCTTTTATTTCCTATAAAAAAAATTAGCAAAACAGTTGCATTTTCTTTCGATTCTCGAATAAGTCCGACATATTGAAGCCTGCCGACTTGGATGTATGAATAGAGGAGAGCCCATTTCCTTGATTTCGTACGGAAAGAGAAGAACCTCATGTAAGTCCAGCCAAGCCAAACCATGTGCTGAAGAAAGAGACAAACAAAAGTGGTTATAGATTCCAACCACTTCTCTTGATTAAACATTTTTAATAATGGTAGGTAATCAATTATGATAAATTTCAGCATCTTTTTC